ACAGGGCCCTTGGAGATCCTGTTTGATTGTACATATGGGGACACTGAGACCCACAGAGGGCAAGACTCAACCAGGTCACACAGCTTCTCTGTGGTAGAAACAAAGCAGAAACCAGAGTGACAGTGGCATGGCTCCTGACCCAGGGGCCTCAGTGAGGGTGGGGCCCAGGAGCCATTTCCAAGGGGTCTGTTGATCCAGAGACATAAGGCCCTGTCCATGCTGGGAGCCTTGCTGCCTCTCCCTTCCTGTCCTCTGGGTCCTGACCTGGCTGTCCACCTGTCTGGGTTGGTCATTCACCATCGGGGACTGCCATCGCCTCCCCTGCTGGAGTAGACGCTCTAGGAAGGCAGGGACCCTAGCCATGGGCATGTTTGCCCCACTTTCCACCCCTGTCTCTTGCTGATGCCAGACAAGGTTTGGGAACCCACATTATGGGACGAATTTATGCATGTGTGTGAGAAGTCCCAGCCCTGACTGAGGGGCAGATCAGAACTCTCATTTAGTTAGAATGTGTGTGTGTGTGTGTAAGGGCATGTGGAGGGGACTGTGCTTGGGGAAGAGCTCACTGAGAGGGGACAGGGACGCTAAGGCCAAGCAGAGCCCAGACCCCTTTACTGAGGGGCCCTTGACCCTCAGTACACTTGCCATGCCCTCTTTGATGGCATCCTGGGGCCCCTGAGGGTTGCCCTTCAAGGTCAGGAAACTATAAGGTGGCTGGTCAGGGGACAGGTTCAGTTAGCCTGAATTAAGATTGCCAAGCATTAAAGACCCATCATCATGGGGCTGGGCCAGGCCAGGCTGGGGGCAGGGCCTGAAAAAGCCACACACCTCTCCCCAAGTGGCCCTGCAACATCCTGGACACCGGGTCTGGTTGCAGCATGAGGTCAGGCCATGGTGGGTTGACAATGGAACCCTTCTTTCTGCCTTCTCCATCTCCTCCTCACCCTCCCATGTTTTGTCTTGGAAGTTGCAGCCCCAGAGGGACACCCGAAGGGATCCTAGGAAGGAGACAGGATCATGAGGTCTGTTCAGGGACCCTGGATGCCCAGAGCCCCAGGGTGAATTGGGAGCAATGCTGGGGACAATGCTGGGGCAGAGAGCAGGGCTCCAGGCTTCTGTGCAGGCTTGGCCTTAGCCCCCTCCCTTTCCCGGTCTTATCCCTCAACCCCGACTCTTCCTTTCCCCCATTTTCCTCTGCTTTCTAGCCCTGCCGTAGCTGCCCCCCATCCTCAGATGATCCTGGTGACACTCTTACCCCCTTCCTCTGCACAAGCATCATAGAGGTTGGACTTCTAGAAACCCTGCCCTCATGGGACCACACAAAGAAGCTCACAGATGCAGAACATGTTCTGGGAAGAAGGGACCCTAGAACCAGGTTCCAGCCTGTTTTTCCAGATGAGGAAACTGGGCCTAGCCAGGAGAGAGCAAGATCGTGGGCTGAGACTAAACCAGACAGAGTGAAGGGCTGGGGGGTTGGATTGGGCACAACCACGGTAGTCTCTGGGCTATGGGATGAGAGGGTGCCTTTGTGTACCTCTTAGGATATAGTTCTCTGTCACCCATCTACACTTGGCAAAGTACAGACAGGTGCCTGTGTGGCCCTTATCTTTGCAAGCCTCTCCCTACCACTGTATCCCTTCTGCCCACATCTGCACCCTGCTCAGGCTGCCCTCTTAGTGCAAATCCTTCTTTCATGGCCACAGCTCCACAGAATTTTTGTTGTTTAATGAACTGTGACTATCCCATCTTGTAGGACTTGATCAATAGCCTCCTTTCATGATGCTGGGTGGGGGCCCCAGGCCACCTGGGAGCTGTCTTTTCCTCTCTTAGGCCTGCCTGGTTGGCTTCGATGAGGCATGCAGGAATGTGTGTACAAGTGTGAAAGCCTGTGTGTGAGGGCACCCGTAGTCATGTGCTGGTTGGGGCTGGTCTGGTATCGTTCAGTTTCCCCTCACTGCTCCTATTTCCTTACCCTTCCCAACTGAGTTCTCTGGAATGATTTGCTGTTACTCCTTTAGCGCCTATGGAAAAGAGTAGTGGAGGAGTCTGTTTGATTTCTTTCTGACCTTAACCTCAGTCATTCCAGAGTGTGGACATGGATCTCCTTTTAGCCATTCAAGGAACTTCTATTCCCTAGAAGAGAGGGGTATAGGGACTGTTGGGAAGCTCTGATAGGCCCTTTTTGGGACCCAAGGGTCTCAGAGTGAGGTTCAGAGGAATGGTGTATGAAGCTGCTCTTTGCCACAGCTTACAAGACAAGGGCTGCTCAGCCCTAAAGAAAAGTTTAGCTTTCTAGCACCTTCAGTGCCATTCTGCCTCCTGCTTTTATAGTACACACTCACATTCATTGTCTCCACTTTGCCCACTGGGTATTATGCTTTAGTCTTGGTGTATAGGTGAAAAAACTGATGGTTAGAATGACACATTGACTTATCCTGGGTGACATAGCCAGAATGTGGTAGAACTGTGACTGGCATTTAGCTCTCCTACTTTCTCTTTCTATCATTGCCAGGTGACTCTGTAACCATATCTAACACTGATGAGCACTTACTATGGTCCAGCCCCCATTCTGAGTGTTTATTTAGCCCAGTGGATCTGCTCCACAGCCATGTAAGGTCAGTACTGTGATTATCATCCATGCATTCCAGATGAGAAAACTGAGGCACATGACTAGCGAGTACCACAGTTGAGATTTGTACACAGGCTATCTGGCTCTGGAGCCCATTATACTCCCCTTTGTATGACCCACCTGGTCTGTGAACGTGGTAGAATGAACACACACACACACACACACACACACACACACACACACACACACACACAGGCTTTTTCACCATGCAAGACTGTCTTAGGTTGGGGGAACAGCGACTAACCGTGGTGTTGAAGGGGATGAGTTGTCTTTGTCCTTCTGAGCTTTCCTGGTGGGATAAGAGAGGGAAATTAAAACACACACACACACACACACACACACAGCAAAAGAAATAGCCCTGACATTACTTGGACTACTTCAAAATGTCGTAAGGTGTGTGGCAATATGATTGTACCTCCCTGACTGTTGTGTTCGCTGTCACTCAATGAAAGTTTTTTTTTTTTTGAGTTGGAGTCTCACTCTGTCGCCCAGACTGGAGTGCAGTGGCTGCTCCTGGCCACCGCAGCCTCGACCTGCTGGGCTCCGGCGATCCTTCCGCCTCAGCCTTCCGAGTCGCTGGAATTATAGGCATGTGCTACCACGCCCGGCTGATTTTTTGATTTTTGTAAAGATGAGGTCTCGCTGCCCAGGTGAGTCTCGAACCCGCGGGCTCAGGCAATTCACTCACCTCAGCCTCCCAAAGGCGCGGGATTACAGGCTGAGCCACCGAACCCGGCTCAATGAAAGTTTTTATTGAACACCTACTCTGCACCAGGCACTTGTAAGCTCTCATTCTAGTTATTTATGGCGGTTGCCCTTTTTTTGTAGTTTTCTTTTTATAGTTTTTGTACTACTCCCGTTCCCCCGCTTTTAGCTTTTTGGTTTTATTGCTCTTTTTAAAAGAAACAACTGGTGTTCAGAGTCCAGCATATCTGATTCAGTTACATATATCTACTAAAAGATAAGTCGAGTTTGCTTATTATTCATATAATCGTAATGTATTTATGGCTATCCTTTGAATTTCTTTCAACATTCATTTATCTGCTAGCAAACTACTGTAAGTACTGTGCTTGGTACCCTGTGGTAGATGGAATTGGCTCTGACATGGTTTCTTGCCCTTAAGAAAGTGATACAATTATTGCAGGGTCCCCCTTTTTATGTCTTTCTAACATTGTGCACAAGCAAGATGTCTTTGGCTCCAGCACCTTAGGGATGCTTAAAAGACCCACAGGGACATGGCTCACCTTGAACAAATTGCCGGAGAGTACCAGCTGCAGTCCTGCCATTGAGAGGAAAGGCTCCTCTGATTCTCATCAGAGCCAGGTAAAAGGAAGGTGGGAGAATTTCAATATGGCCTAGTAGACTGACAGCCAGACGGGAGCAGGGGCACCTGGAGTAGGCTAATTCTGGCTCTGTCATTGCCTTGGGTGACATTGAGAAAGTTTTTGTCCTAAGAAACAGATATTTTTGCTTTCATCTGTGTTGGATACTCTAGCAGGCAAATTAGTTGGATGCAGTTCCTGCCTTCTTAGAATGGTATGGAGAAAATAACCAGTGTACAGATATTGTTCTTGCCATAGATTTGCTGGGTAGCCTTGAGTATGTCACTTTCCCTGAGTTTCTGCATTTGTAAATGTGGGGAACAGTAGTTGAACTGCATGAGATCTTGGGTACTACCAGCCATGGCTAATAGGAGTCCTCGATTCAACAATGAAATCAGGGGTGTGAACTTGTGTTTGACTATTCCAACGAAAGGAAAGAGAAAAATCAAACCCTAATATTCTTGTTTCTTACTGAATTTGAATGGACTTTGTGGTGGTACTTGCCGGTGTACCGAGTTTTCCACAAATTTCTCTGCGGAGGTAGGTTTGGACTTGGGTTGGGGGAGACAGAGAACTGAGGGTATTGGGGAAGTTGCAGATGCTGGGGCCTGAGCTTGTTAGGGATGACAATTTCGTGCTCAAATGAGATCTCACCGAAGTTGTGTCTTCTGGACATCCCATAAATTATCCTGAGCAAATCACTGAACTCTTCTGTGCACATGGCCTATGTATTTAAAGTTCCTCACATGGTGCCAGATTCATTCAAAACTCAATAAATATAAGTTTGTGTGCCCGGCCAACTCGTTCCTTCAGCCGCTGTCTTTGGCGCTGGCTGGGCTTGCACCTCCTCCCTCCCAACACTGTGACCTGAGGGAAAGGCAGTGGTGCGGGGATTGGAGGAGCCAGCAGGCAGAGTCCCGCCCACTCCAGTTTGGACGACTTTCTGGGGAGTCCAGTGGGCCGGGACTGTGCCCTCATTGGTCGAGGATAGGTGGGCGGGGATCCCCAACAGCCCAGCTCGCCACAGCTCGCTCCCCACCTGCGCGGCAAGTGGTCTCGGGTTGACAACGGCTAAGCAGCAGCAGCAGCTGCTCCTCTGGTTGGCACCGTTACCCCCGGCCGACACCAGGCGCCTCGCGTGCCCTGAACTGAGCAGTCCCGCCTGCACTCACCTCCTGCCCACTCCCTCTCTGTCGGGCCCCAAACCCAGAGAGGGAGACGTGGCCTCCAGGTAGGAGTTGGGGAGGCGACAGGGGGGAGAGCCGAAGACCCGGGACTCCCTGGCCCCGGCTAGCTTGCCTGGCGCGCTCCACCTGGCCCCTCTCCTAGTGGTTCCGCTGGGCAGTGTGCGCCGGGGACGCGGAGGGAGAGAGGCGAGCCCCCTCCGTTCCCGGACTGGGGGTCGGAGTCGCCGAAACCGGGGAACCCCTGAGGGCGCAGGCCGCGAGTGTCTCAGCAAAACCCCACCAGTGGGGCGGTGGAAGGCAGCTGTCCGCCAGTTACCCCGGGCTTGACTGGATCCCGGAGTCGTCGCACTGGCGCTTTGAAGGGGGCTGGCAGCTGGGCAGGGGCGCCAGGGCTTCAGGTTCTGCGGCCGGGTTGCGCCGCTTCTCCTGCCCTGTCCTTTCTCTGCTTTCGAGAGCGTTTCCAGGAAGCCCTAGCCCGGCTGTATGGGCTTTTCCGTGGGCCACTGCCTCATTGCTTTCCCTTCTGGGAAACGCCTAGGACTTTATTAGTATTTCTTGGTATTGAGATAGTTGCTGGGACCAAGTGAAAAATTTTCGATAAGTCGTATCTTTCTAGGGCTCAGTTTCTCCATGAAGTCCAAAATGGGTTTGGATTAGAGAATTTCTGAGGAGAGCCCTTTTAGTCGAAGTTTTTGGGATTTCCAAATTAGATGGTCTGGGGTTATTTTCATGTCTCTTCTACCAACATTTGTTGAAGTTGAACACTGAATTACGAATCAGGAAACTGAAGTTCAGCACTGAATTATGATTTAGGAAACTGGGGTTCAGCCAGTTCATATGACCTTGGGCAAGTCATAGTACTTTTGTGGGCCACAGTGTTTTCAGCCACACTGGGGCAGCTTGCTTTCAGGGCCCAGTCTCTCTTACCCTGACATTGGTGCCTGGGGCCAGGTTTATAATTGGCAGGTAAAGGGTTATCTCTGAGATGCTTGGGGCCGCAGGAGCGATGCATATTGAGAGCTCTGTGGTCATTATGCAGCTAAGCCAGCTGGAAAACGTGTGTGTGTGTGTGTGTGTGTGTGTGTGTGTGTGTGTGTGTAGAGGGGGACAGCAAACAGTTGGAAGGTGGGGAGAGGTGGGAGTTTTCTTTCACAGGCTGGTGTATTTGGGGGCACCAGATATTGGGTTGGTTTGGAACTTATGCTTATCCCCTGTTCCAGGGCCCTGGCTTCTCTCAGTCTCACTCTATCTCCCTCAGAGGAGAGGGTAATGAATCACACTCTGGGCTATTTTCAAACCCTGACTCCTCCTGTGTAACCTGCTCCCGCCCCCACTCTAGGATTTGTGGTGAGCCCCTCCATCTGTATCCTTGCTCTCTGAGTTTCCCCCTCGCTTTCACCCTCCTGGGATGAAGGAGGGACAATCTCTGTCTAGTGGTGGGAAGGTGGGCAATCCAAGAGCATGGAGAAGAAAGCTGCAGTTGGTTTCTGTGTGGCTGTTGGGGGTAGGGGATGAAACTATTTCACCCTCGAGGTACAACTGCCATCAGTTGGACATTTTGAGGTGGTCCTCATTTTAGGGATGTGGGCTTTTGTGCATGTTCTAGATTTTGGATTTGGAATTTCTGCTCCCTGGACGTCTGTAGTTAGGACTAGGAAATCTTACACTGGACACAGTCTCCCCTGTTCTCTGGCCTTCTTCGCACACCTTAAGCAACTTTTGAAGTATGCTAAACCTCTCTGTGCACCTGCGGCACTCCTCCCCCATCTGGAGAGGAGAGGCTACTGAGAGATGGTAGCTGAAGGTGGCTGGAGCCAGAAGAGGGGCGGAATGAAGGTGCATAAATGAAAAGGGGCTGTGTACCCTGTGTGCGTACTGGGGGGGAGATGGCAGTGAGTCATGCGAGGAGAGTGGCAGGGCCTTCCTTAATCAAACACAACACCATGGACTCCTGAGCTCAAGCAGAGGAACAAAGAAAGTGGCACTAAGAAGGCTCAAACTTTTTCCCTCTCTGTCTTTTTGAAGTTCTAAAATCCATGATTGAGACTATTCAGGAGAGGAAGCAGAGGACCCCTGCATCCAGGTATAGGGATAGCAATGGGGACACATAAGCAACAAGGTCCCAAAGGAAGGAGGTGATGGAGTCTCTAGTTGGGATGCTGTTGTAGCTGCAGGTGCTTTTCTGCTAGGAGACTCCTGGAGCTCCTTGCTCCAGCCATGGAAAGTTTAGGTTCAACAGTTGGCAGGTTTAATAAAGGCAGGTTGTGCCCTTACCTCTTCTCTGGCTAGAAAAAGGAATTGCCTCTGGCTTGAAAAGAAGAGAGAACTGTTTCCTTGGGCTCCCAGATAGGATAGGATCAAGTGTCATGCCCCTGGACCCTGGGGAGGCTGTTCAGCAGATAAAATAGGGATAGGGGATTTCAAAGATGCAAGGGCGTTAGGGTGTGAAGTGTGAGCTCCTCCAGGTCTAGGGAAGTATTATGTTTTCTCCCACCCCACATCCCCAAAGTTGAGCACTTGGCTGGGCACATGGTTGCTGGTGTCAGATGTTTGTTAAGGCTCCATTCATCTGTGACTAAGGTTTGTGTGTACACATGTGCACGCACATGTGTCGGGGGAGGTAGATATGAATCAGTGGACTTGTCACAAGTGTGAAGTGCTGTGTTTTTGTGTGGAGCTTCCTCTTGCCCTGCATGCTGAACAGTTGCTGTTCCTGTTTGTCTCGACCACACACAGGAATTTTAAAACTGAATGTTAAGTTCCTTAGGAGTCCAGGGTTGCCCAAAGCAAAAAACAGGGACTTGGGAGTTGCAAACATGAAGGTTTAAATTCAGGCCCTGCCAGTTCCCTTAAACTCTCAGCCTCTCAGTTTCTCATTTTTTCCACTTCACTGGATTAAATGAGCAGATCCATGGCTAAGTACTTTGTAAACGACCATGTGCTGTACAAATTATTAGTCATTAAGTTCAGGCTTGGTGCTAGATCTTGTGGAGGACACAGAGTTGGGACCCCCATCTTCAGGGAATCTGCCATCTAGTTTGGGGGTTAGTGGCATAAATAATGCATGACACTATGACTCTTTACCTCAGTGAGAACTTTTAAAATTTATTATGAAGACTTTAAAACACATATAAAAATAGAGACAATTAGTGTAATAATACCCCATGTACCCATCATCCAATTCAACAGTTATTAGCTCACAGCTAGTCTTGCCCTGTCCATGCCCCTACCCATTTCACTCCCTTTCTTTTTTCTTTTTTTGTAGTATTTACCACTATCAAACCAACAATAGATTATTTAATTATTGTGTTTATCATGTTTCCTTTTCTTTTTTTTTAAATCTCACAACTAATTTTACTTTTTTCTTTTTTTTCCATTATTTTAAAGATGTGGAGTATAATTCAGGGTTAGGTATACCAATGTTCATTATGCAGGTACCCTTGTTGATGAGGTGTGCCCCTCCCTCCCCTGGCAGTTTCCCTCAAATGCCAATCCCACCCCCTCCCCTGGCAGGTTCCCACTACTGCCAATCCCTTTCTTATAGTATTATAATAATTTTTCAAGGTCCAATTATGAGTGAGAACATATGGTACTCTGTTCTTTGTTTCTGTGATAGATCACTGACTATGATAGACTCTAAATCCATCCAAGTTGCTACGAAGTCCATATGTTTGTCCTTCTTTACAGCTGCATAATACTCCATTGTGTATATGTACCACAGTTTTATCCAGTCCAGCTTCGATGGACAGCATGATTGGTTCCATATTTTTTTTTATTGTGAATAGAGCTGCAACAAACATGCGTGTGCAGGTATATTTTTGGTAGAATGACTTGAGCTCCTCCAGGTATGTTTCCAATAGGGAAATTGCTGGGTCATATGAAAGGTCAATTTCTAGTTCTTTCAGAAATTGCCACATTGTCTTCCAGAGAGGCTGCACTAGTTTGCATTCCCACCAGCAGTGTAGAAGCATTCTTTTTCTCCACATCCTCACCAGCATCTGTTGTTGTTTTATTAATTATGACCATTCTTACTGGGGTTAGGTGGTATCTCAATGTGGTTTTGATTTGCATTTCTCTCTGATGATTAGTGAGGCTGAACACTTTTCCATGTGTCTGTTGGCTGCCTGTATATCTTCTTTTGAGAAATGTCTATTCATGTCTTTTGCCCACTTTTTTTTTTTTTTTGAGTTG